AGGTGGATGCCCAAAGCAAGCTGTGACCCCATGGGAAGCCTGCACTGGAGCAGGCGCCTGGCAGGGCCTGTGCGTGCATGCATGCAGAGAGGAGCCCAGGCTGGAGCAGGTTTGCTGGCAGGGCTCATGACCCCATGGGGGAGCCATGCTGGAGCAGCCTGCTCCTGAAGGACTGCACCCCGTGGAAGGGACCCATGCTAGAGCAGTTTGTGAAGAACTGCAGCCCCTGGGAAAGACTCGCACTGGAGAATTTCATGGAGGACTGTCTCCTGTGGGAGGGACTCTATGCTGGGGAAGAGCATGAGGAGTCATCCCTCTGAGGAGGAAGGAGCAACAGAGACAACATGTGATGAACTGACCGTAACCCCCATCCCCCCTGCACTGCTCGGGGGGAGGAGATAGAGAAAATCAGGAGTGAAGTTAAGCCCAGGAAGAAGGGAGGGTTGGGGGGAAGGTGTTTTTAAGATTTTGTTTTATTTCTCATTACCCTACTCTGATTTGATTGGTAATAAATTAAACTGATTTCCCCAAGTCAAATCTGTTTTGCCCATGATGGTAATTGGTGAATGATCTCTCCCTGTCCGTATGTTGACCCACGAGCCTTTCATTATATTTTCTCTCCCCTGTCCAGCTGAGGAGGGGAGTGACAGAGCAGCTTGGTGGGCACCTGGCATCCAGTCAGGGTCAACCCACCACACCTTGGGAACACCTCCACTGGCTCAGAACTGTCAGAGAGTTGTGTTTGTTCCATGCGAGGTTTACTTCAGAAAGCCTCAAGTACCAGTAACTCTGATCCTGCACTCCCAAAGAGCACTGCATTGCCTTATTGAAAAGACACCGGCTAACAAATCCCTCAACTCAAGCTTCTGGGGTTTCTGTACATATCCTAATACACAGTCACATTTTTAACTTACAGGATAAGATGTTTTTTAAACAGTTTCCAGTTAAACTGTTAAATCAATCTTTTTTTCTCTCCACTTGATTTTTACCAATTGATATTTCTCCATTGGACCAACTTCTTTAGGCAAGCTTTAAAATGCATGATGGGAGATAAAAAAAATCCTATTTTAAGCTTAGCATCAAAGAAAGAAGCAGCTGTCTATCCAGAAATAAAACAAAGCCCAGATTTAAAAAAAAGTCCAAGTAGCCCATGAGTATTCTTTCAGCATTTCTGTTTTGTCTTGTGTTTTTTTTCCCCCTGCTTTTTTCAGTTTTAATTTGATCATCTGTTGACCACTATGTTCATCTCTAAGAAAAGAGCTTCTCCTTTGAAGATTACATTTAAAGACAACTAAATTTAAAAAGCCAACATTTATTACACATGCCAACATTTATAATACAAAGCCTTCCATTTACTATTTAAAGTTTCTTAACTGCTTATGTGAACCAAGTTCCTGATTTTCTTTTTAGGAAAAAGTTAAATACATCACAACTTATCATGTTATATAGTCCAGCAACAAGGCAGGGATTAAGAGACTTCAAGACCTTCTAATTACAAATTTGACATGGCTACTGAAATTAAAGCAAGCCGCAATACCATCCCGCAAACAGAGGATTTGAAATTCTTTAATGTGAATTTATGTTTGGACAACAGAGTCTAGGGAGCTACAGTCATAACCCTCCTAACATCTACATTAATCTACTGGCTCTTTCATCAAAAGTAGCCAGAGTGAGCAGTCTGATTATTATTTTTGTTTTTAAATAGCAAATGGTTTGGGATACTCTAGTGCAAGCTCCGAGTTCAGTTAAGACACTGCTTGAAAGAGTAAGAAAAAACCTCAGTTCAATTTTTCTGCTAAACATACCCAAGATGAACACAGAAGTTGTCTGAGCTTTACAGAACAAGTATATTATTTCAACAAGTTAGCTGAACATGATATTCTTTTAGCAAAATGGACTAGGTGCCTGAACTTTTTCTTAAACCAAACAGATTCATTAAAACAGCAGACTAAAAATATAACAATTACTCTGACTATATATATACTCTGACATATATCTATCATTAAGTGAACACCACCTTTGTAAACAAATTACCCGGAGGCAGAAACAGGTTATCAGCCTTCAAGATGCAGTAAGAAACAAAAACTGTCTTCCTAATAAGAATCCTAACAAGTAGAACCTTCTGTGAGAAAAACCTTCATTGTCCAACAAGTAAAGGAAGAGTTGTCTGGAGACAGTTACGTCAGGTTCACAGCTCAGTTAGCCTACATGGCTTAGGAGCTTTTTGTTAAAATTTTTGCTGAACATAAAGACAGCAACAGTTTTCATGCACTTTTTAGACTCACTGTTTTGTCTCCTAAAAATAAAAATGTGATGACACGAGCCAAATTTGCTCCAGGATTGTCCAAACCCAGTAATGCGAGTCTCAGCGCCAGACTTGCAACTGATTCTGTACAGGGAGATGCCCGGGCTCCCCCTTCTTCATCCAACTAGCATCAACTGTGACACAACCCAGAATTTCAAGACTATTTCAATTTTTTCTTTTTTTTTTTTTTAACAGACTATTTCAACAATTTACAGGAAATGTATTAAAATGATACACCAGATACACAGTTATCTCTAACAACTGCTGCTGTTCAATTTCCAATATTTGCAGTTTGCTGTTCAAACTGGCTAGAGTTTCTCCAACGGTGAGTCACAGAGTTCAAAGGAGGCCAAAGTTTAAGCAGCTTAGAACTTACCATACAGAAGTATATTCCCCTAATATTTGTGTTCTAATAAAAATCGTGTTTTAAGGAAGTTTGAAAACAAAGTAAACAGAAGATGCTGGACCAAGGGATAGCTAAGGTAATCACTACAAAAAATACTCTCAAAGACATAATGAATGCAAAAACAAAAGGGCTGGTTGGCTTTCATTTAACATGACTCCAGCCAGCCACAGAAAATCTGTTTCAAGAATAAGGCGTCGTGCTCTGTCAAGAGAACACAGCCAAAGTTCAGCCTGAAATTGGGAAAGCAAGCCAGCTGTGCAATTAAAAGCACAGAGCAGCAACAAAATACATAGATAAATGTACAGCGTAACTTTGAACCCCTGGTAGTTGAGGACTAACTCAACACCTGACACCGCTTGTTTTCACGAAGGCAGCAAATGACTATTGCTCACAGCAGCGGGAATTACCCTCCCAAAAGCTGCTCCTTGCCGTCCCCTTAATGCAACACCGTATGCTGCCAGCACGGTAACACATTATTGTTTTTCCAAAGGGAAGCACCTTTCTTTCCCTCACGCCACCATCCCTACTTCCACCTCCCGCTCCGCGCATCCCGACCAGGGCCCTCTCCCCGCCAGAGCCAGGGCAGGAAAAGGCTCCCCAGCCGGGGCAGCAGGAGCGGCCCGGGCTGCCGGGGAGGGTGGCAGCGGCAGGGCTGAGGGCGGGCTCTCTTCTCCCCAGGAATCCCGAGCAGCAGGGACACCCCCGCCCCCGGGAGGCCTCGGAGGAGGCTCCCCCGCCGCGAGAGCCAGGGCCCGCGGCGCGGCCGGGGCTCACCCGGGGG